AGTTTTTAAATGTGGAATAAATTTTAAAAGAGGATATGATCTCATCAGAATGTAATGCCTACAGCCAAACACAAAGAATCAGCTTTTGTGGTTGTATATTACATTAAATTAAAAAAAAAGATTCTGAAAAGCTCTCTAATATTACAAAGTAACATCTGTTCTTAAATACTTTATATAGTGTTTGCTTGCACATTAATATATTTACTAAAACAAATGTGCATGTAATAAAAGATGATGAATATCTATGACTTGAGAAATCTAAAGAGGGAATAAAGTCGTATGGCTTTCTAATTTTAGAAAATCATCTTACTAAATTGAAAAACTACACCTTGAAATCTGAAATTATATCGTTTCTGTGCTAATTAGTAATCTAATTAGACGACAAATAAACCAACGTAAAATTTACAATTAGAGCGAAAAAAATCCCTTAGTTTCTCCTGAAGAAGAGGGATGTATTTATAATTGCTCTCAAAATCGGTAGAGATTTATTCAGCTAAGAATGCTTTCCTTCATTATAAGTTAAACTGAGAAAATGAGAAATTCTTGGTAAAGGCTGAATTCTCTAGAAAACATACATCTATTTCGGTCGTTATTTAGAACTCGTTTCCTAAACGTATAACGAATATGTAAATAAATGTAGATAAATGCAGACAAATATAAAATTTTATTAATAATATCATATAAGATGATGTAATTTAAAACAAAATGGATTTTTGTCATTCAAAATTTTGAATAATTTTGGACACGGGATGGAAAAATCTAATACTATATTGAAAAATACATGTTTATTGAAAGGTATATATTTATTTAAAATTATATTTATTATATTCAAAAGTATATTATTATAACGTTTATTTGACTATTATTCACTGCAGTACTTTGGGGAAAAAGACAGAATTCAGAAAGTTCAGCGATACTCCATTTGCATTAACAACTTAACGAGATATTTTACGGTGAAGAATTTACATTAGCATTCTGGATACAGGCACGTCTTCAAAAGCAAAGTAACATTACAAATAACTACTGTTACGTAACTGAGTGAACATCATATTACAGGTTTTAAACTCAAACTTATATTAAAAATCCAATCAAATTTTGGAAACATGTACACTACATAATTTATGCGCCGAACAGTTTGGAATTTATATATTTTTCGAAGCTCTAGAGAAATTCTGGACGAATTATTTTATAAAAGTAATCATGTAAATAACATATTTGATTTCATTTTCCTCAATGAAAACTTCGTTAAGGATTAAAGAACAGCCAATAATTCATAAGAAAAAAATATTTTTTGGTATTCCTGCATTAAGAAAAAACAAGAAAAGATTTTTAAAAAAATAATTTACATGCCAAACAGTCGTTTTCATAAAATAAAATTTGTTCATTTCTACATTAAATGAGTATTTTATGTCTAAGCTAAGTTTTCATTTCTATGCCTACATACTGGACTAGTTCGTTCATAGTAAAAGGGTTATTCGCCAAGTTAAGAAAATGAGAATTTGTGGAAAATCTTTTTTAATCTAGCTAGTTCAGTATATCATAGATATCCTTCTTATAATTTTTGTCCGAAATTTTAGCGAAAGTTACCATCTATTATCAGGTTCAATGTTCCTTCTAACCTTCTTCGGGAACATGCAAGGACCTGACTCGGAACAGAGAGCTTACTAAAGCTATGTTCAAAACTGTGGGAAGTAAACAGGATGCACAAGAAGGGTATACAAAACCCTTTATTTTTCTCTATTTACAATGACTTCCGTACTTTGGAATACACCGACCCGCTACTCGGGGTCAAAACGTAAAAGTATAAAAATAAAACTAAACTCTAATTTAACTTTAGAATAATAAACGTGGAAGATTGGCCTTATATTAACAGGAAGCGTATGTAGTACAGAGAACTGTGAACACTACAATACGTTTAAAATTTATCAAGAGGATTAAAACCTCTGGTCTGGAAGGCAAACAGCAACTGCGTAAAACTTCTAAGGTAAGCGGCCTGCTTCGACTCACTGCTTCCTCTCTCTCGCTTGGCAAAAAGCCACAACTTAAATACTTGGCGTTCGCCAGACAAACTTTGCATAAAAACCTTAACGCTTATAATTCTGGCCGGAAGTAGAAAATAAGAAGTGATAGTAAAGATTTAAAATAAAATAAACGTTAGTAAAACTTAAGATCCTTACACTATATTTGATACTGTAAAATAAAACAAATAAATCATATTTCGTGCCTGCGTTGTTTAAAAGTGTTTCCTAAATCCTCATTATCTCACCAAATATTCCCGGTTTTCCTTTAAAATTTCAGCTTTATGTCTTTCTTGAAAGCTTTTACGTTGTTTCTAAGTTTCGCTAAATGAGGTTGCAAACTTTGCAGGTTACAAGCTAATAACATATTAAAAAATAGGAATTTTTTAAAGAAAGCTTTATATCTTTATTTATATATATGTTTTTTTTGTGTGAAAATGCATAATAACTGTGCAGGCAACATATAAAATATATTGTGAAAATTAAAAATAAAATCCTCTTTTTTATGATGCACTGAGATAAAAAAATAATTGTTTTGTTTATCTTGTCATTGGTCCACTAAATACACTTGTGATTAAACTTTCACTCGAAAGATGTGAGTTCAAGCAAATTATTTACACTGTCGTAGCTACAGATTAAATTCACAAGGCACTTCTCTAGAAATCAGGAAAAATTTCTAAAATTATGAATGAGCTTTGAGTTTAAGTTTTATAGCATATACTCAAGACCTTTGGTTTAGATTAAAACTGCTTTGTACAATCAATTTATCTTAACAGTTTAAAATCACAATCAATCTCTCTTCACAGTTTAAAATGCATGTAATTTTAAATTATCAGTTTTAAATCAATGTCATAACATTGATTCTTAAATGGTATTATTGTAATTAAACATTAAAAGCTACAAAACATTTATGGTTTTCTAGCAACAACACATAACAAAATATTTATGCGTCTTTTTAATTTGAAGCCTTCTCAGACATTTTGGCTTAATTTATATCAATTTCCTTCTCTATAAATATCTTTCCTAACAATTAAAAATCTGTTTCAATGCACAAACTAATGTTCCCACTAGTTTCTGTGTGCTTTAGCTCCTAATTTGCCAGTCTTTGAACAGTGTAAAAACTGCCACTTAAATGAATGGCGTTCCATACAGTTTAGAATACGGTAACTTTATAAAAAAAGGATAGTGAAACATCACAATTGTTTGTCGGCATTGAATTTTTATAATTCTGGGAAATGACGTTTCCTCGCATTCCGGAACTCCAACAAAAGATAAAGTAATTCAAAGTTCTGGTTTGGATTTTTAAATAGGATTACTTTCGTTATCAAAAATATTTCAGGACATTTTTGCTAAGAAAAAGTAGTATAAAATAAATTAAATAGAAAACTACATTAACAACATTAGTAGGAAATTAAAAATAAGGGAATAACCCGGATTTATGCAATATTTCGTAGAAATATCTGATATTCTCAAAATCTTAGAAACTCTCCGGAATGAACGGAAATACCTGCGGAGATTCTACCTGTATAAAGTTACTATCGTATTTATATCCCATAAAGCTACAGAAGACATTCACTCACGCACCAAGGTTTAGACTTTAGGTTGCTTGAAAAATCGCATGCTGTTATGATGAAATCGGAGAAAATAAAAAAGAGTTATTTCAAGCCGATTTCTTTTCATTTGCTGAATAGTTCGAGAGAAAGAAAGTTGTTATTGTACTGATAATATCGATAGTTAAGATTAAAATCTAAAATCTTTGCATGTTCTAATGCATTAAAACAGAAAAGGAAGTTTTAATGAAGGATTTTAAGAAGCCAGTATCTGTTAATATCTAAAGTAAAAAAATATCGTCACTAATTGATATGATGGCGTTTTAGAACAACATAAAATAAACATTATTTACATTATGCAATTATTAAATTATTGTAATTAATTAGAAAAGAATAGCAATAAAGAAGAAATACGATGCTTTAAATCTAAATATATTAATTTACTTGCATTTAGGTACATCTACATGAATACAAGAACAATTATTAAATTTGAATCTTGTAAGGTATTTCTCCCGCCTTCCTAGCGTGCCTTCGTGGTGTAGTGGTTCTGCACGCTGGGCCGGTATTCCAGAGGTCCGTGGTTCGATTTCCGGCGAAGGCATTGCTAATTTTTCATCTTGCCTGTTTCCAAAATAAATCTTAATGTCTCTACAATCTTCAATAAATTCTTTAAACACAGAAAAATTGTTCAAGATCCGTACTTTTCAACTGACTTTTAACATTTCACTTAACTTTAGTTTACAGTCAAGACTTAATTCGAGTTTTTCCTTTATAGATAATTTCATGATGTACTGGTTCAGTCCAGAGGTTTATTCAGATTTTTAGGACAAACGGCATAGTTTAAATTAGGAGGAAGAAATCGTAATCGGCATGACTTCTAGTAGAGACTTAGATATTGCTGCCTACGTTTGTTCTGACTATTGGAAACCGCTGTTAGATTAAAAGTGAAAGCTTGTTATTCTAGGCAGATTTAGTAAATATGAACTACAGTACAGTTTACGTTGTCGAGCTAAGCTGATATTTGTAAATTCGAGGAGGAGCTAGTTAATTTGTTGGATATTCTAGCCAGTAGATGTAAATCAAAAAAACTAAAATTTCGTGTTGTATTATTTTACGTTAACCAACCAGTCCTGAAAAAATGATGATAATAATTTCCATTTTTTGTATCTCTTATTTCCTCAGTCAGTTTAAGCGAAATGCAATAACTCGCCATTTTAGTGAAGGTAATATTTGAGAATAAATGGTTTTGATAGAATTAATTAATTAATGAATAAGACATCTCTTAACCATTATAAACGTATAGAAAATATTATTACACATAATTTTCTTATTTCTATCCCATTCCAAACCCAAGGGGATTACATAGTAAGCTCGTATACATGCAATATTTTATAAGCATAAATAAATAGCTAAATTATATATAACTGCTTACCTATAATTATCATCATCATACTCATATTGCTTATCTTGAAGTTCCCGTAGGTCTCCTATTAATTCTTTGAAAGACCTAAAAGAAAATGTTAAAGGATGTTACGAAACACTTTGAAGCTGTTTGATAATATATTACTTTCGAGCTATTATCAGGCATCATCATGAACTATCATGAATAATAAATCATCGAAATATGTCTTGATTAATAAAGAATGACACGTGCATAAGGAAAAAAAACTTACTCTCTGTTCAAAGCCAAACATTCTACCCCAGGATGCGCTGCAATCACATTGGCCGTTCTTTTATCCTCGCTGTAAAAGAAACTTGAAATTAATACCAATGAATGTGTTTAGAAACAACATTTTTCTTGGCGAATTATTTTTCACAGAAACTAAAGAATAAAACTGAAAAGCTTTTCGCCATCTTAATGGATTTAAAGTGATCTCAATGAATGAAAGAAATGACATGAAAAACAAGATTTTTTTTTTTTTAACTGGCGCGGGAGTACAGAAAACTCATTAAGCAGAAGCGAAAAACAATAATAAGATTATTACGTTTTGAGATGCATTAAATTTTAGTAATAATAATAAAAAAAGATATTGAGGTTCTGTTACTAAACAATATTACATTTATGCGGTTATGCTTAGGACTCGGTTGACTTATAAAACTTCAGCATTATAGAATTGCAAGATGTTTTTTAAAAGAAGGGAATAATATGCAACGTAAAAATTCATTAAAATGCGTTTCATAAAGGGTGAGGAGATAGGATAAAATTTAACTCTTTAATTACATTAAAAAATACATAAATTTAAAATTTAAAAATATTAAAAAAACGTTTATTTTTCTCCAGTATGAAATGAAAATGACAATTAACGTTTATGTCCAGATGTATTCTAAATTAAATACTGTTTTTTAAATTTCTTTTGTAGATAGTATCTATAATTTATTAAATTTGACACAGGAAACTGAATGTCAGTACTTAGTATTTAAAAATATTGTACAATGCGATACGGAGTCTACTGAAACATTTTAAATAATCTTATATAATATACTGAAAAAATGAAAACAAGCGAAACTGTCTATAGATATACGAAACTATGCTATTTATTATTCTACGAGGTATTTTCTCTCTCGTTTCCCACTAGTAGTTTAGTCCAAGACTCGAAACCCGGCGAACGGCCTGGCTGCGTGGCCGATTTCGTGGTTTTCTGCCCGTATAACGTTGTATACCAGAAAGTTTTCCTTAGAAAGTCTTTCACGAAGAGCTCTTGAAGGCTTTACCATAATCAAATAAACTAAACAAACCAATCTCTCCCTTTACCGCGTGCTTTCGTAGTGTAATTGGATAGCATGTCCGGCTGACAATCAGGAGGTCTGGTGTTCAAATCTCGCAAGAGCATTGCACATTTCTCACGCATCCTTACTTTGAAAGCTTAACGACTCTACAAATGGCCTTGAACTAAGAGGTGGTGACCGATAATTCGTCACCACCAGGATTTGGCGATTAGGCCCCTCACCGCTAGTCAGCCTTTAAAGTGGGATTATATAAGGCACTATTTTCTCTCTCCTTTACGCGTGGCTTCATTGTGTCACCGGATAGCATGTTCGGTTAGTAATCGGGAGGTCCTGTGACGGCATTGTGTTGCGTCGTTTTTGAAAGTGCCTGAAAGGTACCCTACTAGTTGACCACAACAATAAAAATACTCATTTCTACCATAACATACTAGTATCAATAACCTGTTTTAATTGCGTTGTGTTTATTACGGATTAACCCTAAAATAAATTTGAGTAAAAGACTGGTAAAAATCATGAGCACACAAAATAAATTTAACCATTAATTGATCTAGAAAAACTTATTTATTTAACTCTTATGGCAATTATATATATATATATTACTTGGCAAATCAAAATATATTCCACAAAATAAGTACTATTGTTTTACAAATCAAACTATTACTGAGTAATTATTTCTTAACATTATTCTTTATAATCTCTATCGTGGTATTGTTTACAAGTTCAGAGTTATGTGTGATGACATTCACAGGTTGGGCACTGGCCAATTTCATTCCTTTATTGAGATGTAGAGTATTCGGTGAAAAATTTGCAATTTTGACATAAAATTCCTGAGATGGAGAAGTCTGAGTAACTGACCTGGCTATCGAAAATTTACTTTGAGCATGTTCTATTAAAGGTTCAATCAAAACAGCATAATCAGTAGTTAAAATTTGCAGAACGAGCAGTGAGCTTAATGATATTTTCTGAAAAAGGTGGTTAATTTATATTTGGTTACAGAGTAACAAAATGACTGAGAAACTGAAGTAGAGAAAACATTACTATTCATAGCACTAGGCTGACTTAGATTCCATTTAAGAATTACATTTGATCTTAACAGTTGAGAAGTGGAGAAATCCAAATGCATATTATTATCTGCAAGAAATTTAGTTCCTAATAAAGCACCATACTGAGATGAAAGAGGTGTGTCAGTAATTAATAAATATTCTGTTTCAAAATATTGTTGTTGAAATTCTACTATTAAATTCATTTTCTTAGTTATTTTTACTTTTTCTGCAGCAATACCCTTTAAATATATGTTACATGAGTCCAATGAGATTTTACTTAAAAAACAATTAATGTATTTAGCTTCTATGATGTTTACAGTCGCCCCTGAGTCCAATAAAAACTTTACTTTATTCCCCAAAATAGATCCATCTACAATAGGCAAAGACGCCTCACTAGTGGATACTGTAAACACCGATGGCACCTCCAAAAGGGTTTTAGGAGACGAAACGGAGACTGGTTTCTCCCCATCCTGAATTAGTTTAAATTGAAACTTGGTGCTTGGGGATTCAAAGCATTTGTAGCCACACTTGTGGTATTTGGAGTACCCGAAACAGCTGGTGTGGTGGTTATTATGGATGTCTCCTGGCTGTTTGGTTATTTCTAAATCTCTGTTGACCCTGTCTAGTGTGCTGATTAGGCACAATATTTGCATAACAGTCTCTGCTAACATGCCCTATTCTGTTGCATCTGTAACAACGAGGCTGTATGGGTCTTGAACGAGTACTTTGTGATATTAAACTCTGCACCTGTGTTTGAAGAGAACCCATCATTTTAGTAAGCTGAGCTATATTTTCTTGTTGCATTTTAATAGCTGTAGTTAGCTCTGAGTTGGTTACTGATGGTGTTGTAACTGATTTTTCGTTTGCTGGCTTAGCAGCATTCACCGCTCTAACCTCAGCTGTTGCAAAATCACTACTAGCATGGCTCTTAGCCCACATGTCTTCCTCAATAATTGCATGCTGTTTAGCAGATGATGCAAAAGTTTTGTGATTCTGTGGCAGCAACAAGCGTCGCAAATGCAACTGCAATCCTTCGATAAACACTGCGACAGAATTAAATCCTGCCCTCTGTGCTTCTGCTGCAGGGTCACTGCTTCTTTCCACTGGTACAGTTTTTGTACGAAAGAGCCTCTATACGTGCTGCAAATTGGCGCACTGACTCGTGTGGTTTCTGAAAAGCCTGAATAAGAGCACGGATGTTAGAGTGCAAATTGTGCACTGAACAGATGAACCTCTCCTTCAACGCTTTCACGAACATAGTCAAGACTGGCTTCTTTCTTTAACCTAGGATTATTCCTAATTAATTCAGCAGCCTCACCTGCCACCTTGACTCTGATCACTGTTAACTTGTCTTCATCTGACCAACCCACATGAGTGGCAATGAGATCAATCCTATCTAAGAAGTCATTCAGACTAATTCCCTTGTCTGCACCTAAGAAAACAGAGGAGGACAGAATCCAGAGGATCAGAACCAGAAAACTGATAGAGCCATTACTTCTTGACTCTCCTCCCAGTCTATCATACTATTACTAGCCGCTCTGGCTGCTCGTTTTGACACTTTCTTTGGCATTTTAAAACTGCAATCAGCAATTGCCAGCACATAAAAGTAGGGATGTATCCCAATGTGTGATTAACAAGCGTGCCTTTTAACCTTATGTTGCAAACATACAGTTGCAAAAATGGGAAACAGTAATCCTCAAACTCAATATGTAAAAATGCAATACAAAATTTTGCACATAAAGAAAAATACTTAACTAAACAAATTAAGGTACTGCGTGAAAATGTTTGTGTTTGGATACAATTGTTTCAAACGTCCATAAGTGTATCAGTAGCATAACTGTTATGCTTCCTCAAATAATAAGTATAAAATAAGCACAGAAATACGACCACTATATAGGCCTGTCACTGTAAACCAACTAACGAGTAGGGTTTCAGTAAAAAGCCTAGACATGTGGAAGAAAACTTTCACATAAATATGCAATAGTACACATGAAAATCACCAGTCTCAAGTCAAAATTAAGTTCAATTATAAGTGCAAGCGAAAAGGTGGTGCAAAAATCACAGCACAAAAAAAATTTTGTTGGTGCTAAGTTGGTTCGAAGGGTCACGGCACCAATTTTGTTGCGTCGTTTTTGAAAGTGCCTGAAAGGTACCCTACTAGTTGACCACAACAATAAAAATACTCATTTCTACCATAACATACTAGTGTCAATAACCTGTTTTAATTGCGTGGTGTTTATTCCGGATTAACCCTAAAATCAATTAGAGTAAAAGACTGGTAAAAATCATGAGCACACAAAATAAATTTAACCATTGATTGATCTAGAAAAACTTATTTATTTAACTCTTATGGCAATTAAATATATATATATATATTACTTGGCAAATCAAAATATATTCCACAAAATAAGTACTATTGTTTTACAAATCAAACTATTACTGAGTAATTATTTCTTAACATTATTCTTTATAATCTCTATTATTATTACTTTGCAAATCTGGTAAAACATACCAAAAATATACTATAAATTTATGAACAGTACCCTCCCCGGGGAGAAAAGAAAATAATTTTAACAAGTTACACCTTCCACTTCACACAGAATAATCGGTACAGAAGAAATATTATTGCACTCAATACCATCAAACAAACAATAGTTATTGCACATAATAGCTTTTTATTAATTTTTTTTGATTATAAAAATATTGTTTAACCAAAAAAAAGTTAAGTAGTTATATTATTACTGGTACAATTACTAATCAATCTTCAACATGAAGTAACTCCAAAAATTCTATTAAATAATTTCTTGAAGAACTTAATTTTCTTTACTATTCAGTTATGGAGAAGAATTAAAAAAAAATGAGAGAGGCCATTGAAGCTCAGGAGAACTGCTGGCAGCAAGTGATCACTGGAACCTAGCATTTTTTTTTTCTTTCAGTAGATTCTAAGATGAACAAACGAGGTTCCTATACGGCTAAATAGTTGAATATAGTCCCGGATTTGGAGATACGAGGAGATTAGGATGAACAAATGAGGTTCTAATACGGCTAAATAGCTGAATACAGTCCCGGATTTGGAGATACCAGGAGATTAAGAGGAACTAATTTTCAGACCATTTTTCCGGACATCTTCAGCGGGAAACGACGAATCAATTTCTAAAAGGGTCCAAAACGCAACGGTTGTAAATTAACTTTCCATTTCAGAGTATGCTGAAGCCTAATGATTTCTTTCTATGGCATCGTAAACGACTACCACAGCGGCAATCAGATGGTTGAGAACTGGGAGCAAGCATCATTTTTCAGGAACTTTTCTGCTTTATATTTTTCTTGAGATACACAAACACACACAAAAAAAAACTGAAGAAAGAATTAAATTTTGCGAAGACATAGATGCCCATCCACTAAGGCCCGCGCTCAAAGCGCTTAGCCAAGAGGCCGTAATTCTTTCGTGGCGAAGATCCATTTCCTCGGCGGAATCAGCTGTCGCCTCGAACAGCATCAAAAAGCAATTCAAATGAGCAAAAGAAAGTGTCAAAAAGTGACCTCGTCCCACAAAACAACCCGTTAAAAAAGAGAGCGCCGGAACTCCAACTTGGCACAACTCACTCCTCGCCAAAAGTTAAACCTGTTGCAACTACAACATTCCCTCATGTTAACAAACTCGCCAAAGCCACCACTTTGAAATCCCAACGGAAATTCTAAGTCGCCAAATAACCACGCCTAGTGAAGGGGAAAGAAACTTAGAATTTCAACAACCCTGCAAGCCATCCCAACGAAGGAACGCTGAAAAACTCGAAAAAGCGACTATTTTACCGGAAAGAGGGCAATTCTTCCCCCACAGGAGAAATCACAATGAAAACGGAAAAAAAAACTATTAATTAAAGCTCATAACTAAAATGCAATTAAAGTTAGGAAAACGAAAAGTTATGTCAAATTAAAGAGCTAATTTTTCTGCAACTAATGATATTAAATACTAATTGATTATATTAATAATATAATAAGAAATCAAATTAATTTTTAACATGAAAAACTGAGTTTATTACATGAAAATTCACCTATATCCATTGTCTGAGTGTACAAGA